AACGTGTGCAGCAGGTCCTAGGCGGGCTTCATGGAATCGGTTTTTTTTTTGCGATTGAGATAGAGTTGTTCGCCTCCTGAGGTCATGGTTACAGGTGCTGAAGCACCTCCCTTCTTGCAGTCATCATCTCAGTTCACATTGATGGCATGGAATGTGCAGGCGTTGTTTTGCTGAACTCGCAGTTTCGATGCCCTTGCATGACTTTTCTGGTTCCGCAGGTACATAGCTACGAGACCTGAACTGGCTTCAACTCCAGTTGTTGTTGAGGCTTCGGATTTGCTCCGCAGAAAGCCGGCGACTAGCTACGGCACCTGACCAGGCGACCTCAAGATCGATCCCAGTGCGAGAAAGCCCAACCGTTCAGGCGCGTGCTTGATCTTCAAGGGCTCATGGATTTGGGGGCAGTTCTCTTACACCTGGCTAGCCTAGCGGCCTAACACTACTGCTCAGAATGTTCGGTTGATGCACGCAAGTGTGGCACGTGGCTGCACAGGTCTGTGACAGTTTCGATGCCGCTGCCAACGCTGTTTGGAAGGTGGCACACGAACCAGGTGGAGGGGAATCTGAATGGTGTTGATCAGATTCTAGCAAGTGGTTGCACAAGCAGTTTGCTTGGTTATACGTCTCGACGTACCGTGGCATCAAATCCTCTCAGCGACCCAGTGAGAATCAGGTTGAAGGGAAGTTCGCGGGCCGAGGTGAACTGTCTACCTGTACCTGTGGTGTCTAGGGTCCAACTAGAGGTTCGCGAGCACTTGCACCATTGGGAAGAGCTTGAGTCTGCCGAGTTTCTGTTGCTGCACGCTTGGTGTCCAGGTTTCGCTTGAGCGAGGCTTTGCGCTTCGTCATACACAACGAAGAGCAAAGCTCTCCTACCCGCACAGACGTTGGTGCAGAAGTGAGGTGCGAGAATGTATGTTTAAGACAGCAAGCGGGAAAGCCTACCGTTTTTTTCATCGTTTCCGCCTCACTCTGGCTGCCGGCAAGCCACAAGCCCAGAGTCTCAGTTTCGCTTCGCAGAGGTTTTCATGTGCACATTTTGTGGAAATGAGACTTGCGCATGGCTTGCAGCGTCGCCCGTAGATTCTTCCTGTCGCTCGACGGCCCAACTGCACAGCCCCTCCAAGATTGCTATTCATTATCGAGATTCGCGGACAACCTGCTGTGCGGCTAATGCACAAATTGGCTCGAGCACATGACTTTAGGATGTTAGGGTGCTGGGTTAAATAAGTAAGACTCAAGACATCCGAGAGGGAGGCTCGATCTCTCATGCAAGACGTAGGTGAGGGGAGTGAGAAGCAGAAGCGAGACGGGATCGAGCAAGACTGCTAGAAAGGAAAGTGTGCTTCAAGACGGTTCAATGACAAATGAGATGATAGGTTTGAGTTGTTGCCTTAACCTCATCACCTATGTTATGCTGTGTGGCGTCCTCGTCGACGGACAGGACTTCAATCACAATCACCTTGGACAACAGTCCTGTGCCAGACGGCCCTGCCGGTGTAGCAAAGAGAGGATACTGGCATAGCAGTGCAAAGCACCGGGAGGGCCCGAGGGTGGTGTTTTCCGTAAGCTGGACTTGGGAGCAATCTTGCGACATCTTGCGACATCAGGATACACTTCAGAAATGAGCGGTTTGTAGCAAGATAACATGATGTGTGCAGGTCAGATGAAGCAGAAGCTGATACAAGGTTCCCTGCAACTCAGCCTCGTAGGCGAAATCTTCAGAGTTGTTTCGTCAGCGCGCTCATGGTCTGAAGGACCATGTTGCAGTCGCAATTAAATTAGATTCAGGACAGAAGGAAACATGCAGAAAGTGGCAGCTTGCCGGAGTTTCGCGGGTTCTGTTGTCGTCAGGATCAGATTGCATAGCTTAGCTTACGGGTTCTTGTGCCAAGAAAACGACATGACTCTGCCTTTGCAGCGGTTCCTGGCAGAGTAAAATGAGCCTCTCCCTGTCCGTGTGCTCCCTGTGCTCCGCGTACCCTTGCCATGACCAGCGATTGCGGCCTCTCGAAGGAAGGGCTGTTTTACGGTGCAACCAGTGCCGCACTGGTCAGCGACTCTCAGCTGTGCTGACAGTGGCAACGCTGCGACGTTGCTCACGCTCTGCCCGGCTTCGCAAGGCTGCCAGGGGGTCGCATGCATCGCGCCTGCAGGATACAGACTTCAAGCTTCAGGAGGCGGTCAGGGAAGCCAAGGTGGTCTTCTGCATCCTTTGCCGCGGCAGCAGTTCCAAGGATGCCTGGCCAAAGTCGCCGGAGGGTGTCAGGAGCCTGGGAAACACCCGGGATGACGTGGCCCGGTCCCTGATGGCGGCGCTTGGCCGTGACTCTCCAGAAGCTGCCGTGGTGCTCGTTTTTGAAGACACGCGGCAGACACGCAGCCGGCAATGGTGGGTGCTAACAAGTGGCTTCCTGGAGCAGGAAGTGACGGAGTATTCCGTGCTGCGGCAGTGCCAGCGGCTTGCGCAATCGATCCACGACGAGCACAGCGACGAGAGCGGCCGGCGCGCGGCCTCTGCGGCCTCTGCGGCCTTGGAGGCCAGGCCACAGGGTGCTTACTTCCTCCCAAGCCGGGACTCGCTACAAGAGACAGCTGCAGCTTTCTTTGAAGCACTAGGATGTGAGAACTCAGTGCTAGTGCTTCTGGACGAAACATTTCCTCCACTGCCAGTGACTGCACCGTCAGCAAGTGCAGACGTTCCCGAAGCTCGGCGAGCTGTCTTCGTGCTCGGCCTGCGGGAGGAGCTGAATCCAGAGCAGCTCGAGTGCTTTGCACGGGCTGCAGTCGAAAAGGAATGGAGCGTCTTGCGCTTGAGCATGGGTTGGGTTGGCGAATTCACATCGAAGGTAGTGGCACGCTTGCAGGCCTTGCAGAGCTGTCAGCAGCTCCTAAAGTCACTGGGAGTTCTCAAGCATTGGAAGCAGACGGGTTCATTGAACACGCTCCGTGGATGGCCTTGTCCGGATAGTCGTGAGCAAGAGCTCTTCTCGCGTGACGGGCCGCTGGTCCACTTCTGTATGCCGGTGCAAGCACCGCTGCAAGAGCTGTCCTGCGACCCCCTTGGCTCGTCTGCAGCTGCATGTAGCCTGCTCGCGCGCAGCTGCATTGCAGGACTCTGGCGGGCGCATCATGCCTGGGATCGCTGCAGACTTTCCTTCGCTTTCACATGCGGGGCAGTCCTAACCGTCACGCGCCGCTTCAAAGGGCGTTTCCAGGGGCGAAGGGCCACCGAATACTGCGTGCTGAAGGAACTTCGAGAGCTTGTTGATGCTGCGTTGCAGGAGCGAATGCAGAAGGGAAGCCTCGCGAAGGCAGCTATGCCGGGAAGACGTGCCTGCACTGTGCAGCTGCCGGAGAACGGTCTACTTCCAACTCTGCCCTACAGACGAGATGGCACGCTGCAGCTGTATTTGGAGTCGAGGAGCGACGTGCTGCGCAGCGATGCATCTGATGTGTCCGCATCGGAGTTGCTCCAGGCCTTGCCGGGCGGGTGTGGGTTGTGCTTCTGATCGTCCGGATCTCAGAAACGTTGCAAGCCCAGGCGAGTTTGGAAGTTTAGCATCCCGGCCAAACAAACCGGAATGACCTCATCAGGCCTCAGCTGATGAGATACTTCGTTAGGGGGCTGACAGGTCCTGTCAACTTCCAGTAGTTCAGCAAGTACAGTACAACAGCTTAGAAGAGCCTAAACCAGTTTAATCTTTTCAGAGCACTTCGGATATTCTCATGCTACTAAGAGTGCGGCGATTTGGTTTTGCATCGGATGCCTTTTCTTGCGATCGGAAGTACATATCCGAGTTTGCGGCAGTCTGTTGACCGTGGGCCGGCTCGGAGGCATCCGGCTTGTCGCGCTCCTGGCTGGGACCATGCCCCCCCCCCCGCCCTTCTCCACCCCAGCTCTGTTCCTCTCGGCAAGGCCCGAACAGAGCTTCTTGGCGGTGGATCCACAGCAGTGTGACGTCACGTTTGCGTGTGCAACAGTACAAAATCTCAGTGTCGAGAAGACGGTGCATGGTAGCTACTATAGTTTACGGGGCCTTGCGCCAAGCAACCGTTTCGTCCAGCCCGCCTCAACGGTCAGTCTCTGCATCGTGTTCCAGGCTGGCCGTGGCCCGAGCTCCTGACGCCATCGTACATCTTTACTGGAAAACGGACTCAACGTGAATTAGACTTGTAGCCTGCTATTGTCGGTACAGTCCCCGGGTGCTCAAGCTCAAACTCCGCCTGATTATGCCTGTCCTGAGCTCGAGGTTGTGAGTCATGCGTAGCAGGCTCAGATAGACTCAGAATCTCTACGTCGTGTGTGTCAAAACCGATCTTTGGCAGTACGCGGGTCGAAGAGAAGATCTTGAGCAACAACCTCAACCCGAAGAAGTGTAGGGCATCCTGTTGGCTTCGATCTGCTTTCCCCCTGTGCATCTTAGGAGGAGTGCAGAAAACCAGTGTTTACAGGGGTAGCTTCACTGCATCCTGTGGCTCAAATACATTCCACTCGTTGCTGTGTGCCTGCAGGCTTTGTGGAAGCCTCTCGCAGAGAAGGATGCTCCAAGCTGCATGGTCTGCTTAGTCCTATTCACCTCGAGAGCGTCGTCCCCATTCAGGTTTTCGGCTGACTGGCAAGGGGTCGCAAGTCCTCGGCTCCCGCACACAGATCATTTCACTCTGCTTTGCGCGCTGCAGAGTGCCTTACTCGGCGCAGATGGCAGTGGTGCGGAGCTTCTGGCACAAGTGATCAGGGAACCCATTAGCGTGATGACTTTCGCCGAACCCCCAGACCGGTCGAGGAAGCGGATCGGCTTTGCCTTGCGATTGTGGCATAGGCTGCGGTCTTCTCTGTTGCGGAGAAAAAGATGCGCATGCCACTGGATGCTGTTCCAAGAGTTCAGGGGCAACCCTGCTAGAATCATGGGCCTTGGCAGCATCGGAGCGACTTTAAGCACCATTGCAAGATCGGCTCAAGTTCTGAAGTCGTGCGAAAGTGCCTTAATCCCATCAGAATGCCAGCCATCACAGACAACGTCTCGTGCCTTGCTGGCATTAGCTTTGGCTGTGCTCTCTTGCATTCAGGAACATCGAATCGAAACCACGCTCTCAGGCTATGCAAACTCCAGATCCAATCCCAGGTTCAACAACATCGCGCGCGAATGGCGCTGCAAGTGGTCTGCCGACGGGGAGAAGGTCGCTACTGATCGGTAGACTTTCGGCAGGGCCTTGCATGAGGGTGCTACTTTACTGGTTGCTGCAAATGCTGAATGGTGTACTTTTTTTTATTCAGCCTTGGGGTTACGCACTCCGGGCTGTGTCACGTATCCGCATGCCAGGCGGCAAACTCTGGACAGTGCGCAAGAGATCATGAGCAGCCCCCAGCCTCACCGTCGAAACTTCATACCGGGACCATAGTGACGGGCAGACGAGATCCTCAAACCAAAACACGACATGGCATTTGCAGCTCCTCAATGCTGGCATGGAGAGCGGTTTAGGTTTGCTGTTTCTTTTTGATGGTTCGGTCGGGACATGACGGGACGCTGGACGGGGGGGGGCATCCAGCACTGTTGGTGTGGCTTGACGTGTTGTGCTCTTTCGGCGGGAGTTGGTTGGATGCGGCAGTAAGGCAGTCTTCGAATGTCTTCCAAACAGTTGGGATGGTATACCAGCCTTCCTCAATTCCATCACAAAGCATGTTGAATATGTCTGCGGAATCGAGGCTTCCCTGAAAGCTGCGCAAGCCGCACTGGAAGAAGTGCCTAGCCTAGCGATCAAGTTTTGTCACAAGTTTAGTGTGGTGAGACGCAGTCTGGCTAATCCGGCGGTGAAGCACAGATCCCGCTTGAACTGCATGCAAGGTTTTGCCAGAGATCAAGAAGGAGCTGCTCTCAGCTTGACGGCCATGCGCGGAGTTTCGCCAAGACTTCTCCCTTCCGGTCTCTCAGGTGGACGGCCTAGGCGGCAACTCTTCCAGACGCAGCTTCTGTGAAAGCGCTTGGCAGCTGAACTTTGCAGGCAGCGTGCAGCGCGTGGTCTGCGGCGGCTGCTTGGACTTCAAGGCATCTGTCGGCCAAGCTGGCCCAGGCAGCGCGAGCAAAGCAACGCTTTTCTCGCAGGTTGTTGTGAAGCTGCCGGCGGATAAGTTCGGCGACTGGGAGAAGACCAAGTTCGCACCAGAGGCCCCCCCGTACAGAGGACAGGGGGAGCCGTCAGGAGGCATCAGGATCCGAGAAGCTCAGGAGGCATTTCTGGGCAAGCTCAAGGGCATTGAGGGGATTTCCATCGTCGAGACGCAGACCTACACCTTGGAGGAGGCCTCTGCATGTGAAGAATGGAAGTTCCGACTGCGTGTTGAATTCTGCACGAAACCAATTCAGCAGCGGATGCCTCCGAACACGTCACGGCCGAAAAGAGACATTGAGCCGAGACACTAAGCATTCGTGGTAAGCAGTGGTTCTTGATAAATCACAGGCTAAGGTTGTGGAAGTTCCCAGATCGAAGGCCGCGACCCGGCCACCTCGGAAGTTGGGATGCAGTAAGAGCAGGAATACGTATATGGATTTGAAAACTGGCATTGGCAGTTACAATATCAAGACATGCAAGTCGTCATACAAGCGCTGAACAAGCACAGTTGTGCACCTGCTGCGGCTTTAATTTTATTCAGGCTTTGGCAAGCTGCCAAATGTAGTTGATTCAAAGGATTGCGGTTTTTTCAGCTTCAATGTGCATGTGCAGGGCTTCTTGGTCGCGGTTCAAGTTTAGGCTAAGCGATTTGAGGCCTTTTTAGGGCCCCCGTGTTGCAATGGAAGTGCATGACTCAGCGTTTGTTGAGACTATGTAGCTGTCAGAGTATTGTCCTGCGCATGCCACCTGGGTTAATGTTTCTATATGTTTCTCCCTTCTTCTCCCGCAGGACTGTTATCGCTATTGGTACCATGCATGTCGTTCCTTTTTTCTTATGGCTGATTCTTGTACCATGAGTACCACGGTTGTTGCGAGTCCTCGACATTGGCAAGTGGGCTCTAAACTTTAAACCACCTACGCTGCAAACATGTAGACCGGCAGATGCTATACAGTACCAAAGCCCACCTCTCGAGGGGAGTCGCGCATTCCATCAGAGAAAGCCGAGCCGAGCCTTCCGGACAAGTTTCCGACTTCTCCGAATCGAAATGAACCCTTTGTCCAAGCATTACGCACCCAAACCTAAATCCCTAGATCCTTAATGCCATCTGAGACTCGCGTTTTGCGTTTGCCATAGGAAAGCCGGACGGCATTTGCCACAATCTGGCTAGTGGCAAAGGCAACGTAAACGGGGCCAAGTGCTGTGCGCAACTGGACTAACAAGCTCTCTCGTGCTGCAGATCTGAGTCGCAGCGGTGATTTTGGCATGCCGGGGCCCCGGTCAAGTGCAGCATTGACAGGGACGATGCAGATGATGATGATGATGATGATGATGACGGTGATGATGATGGGGTTGGTGGTGGTTGTGTAGGTGGTGGTGAGAGGCGGTCATGCAGGCGGTGGTGCAGGTGGAGGTGGTTGTCATGGAGGTGCTGGCGCTGGTGGTGGTGCGAAGCGGGCAGTCACGGTACTCATGTTCTCACGGTCATGCAGAATGTCATTGACAGCCATTTTCTGCGGTTTGTAGTAGTATGCATGTCTTCTGATGGTTATGATTTGGCTTGCATGCCTGAGCCATAAGCCACCTTTGCAGCAACTGTTACTGTTATGATCACCATTTTGCTCGCAATTTTTGTCAACATTATTAGTATCCCATGCATGATCAGTAGCAGTATAGTGTTCGTTCTTGCTTTTGATGTGCAACATGGTATTGCTTACCTGAAGAAGTCTGCCCGAAGATGGAGTGTACCTGTGTCGGACAGGATCCTGATGTCATGTGTCATAGAAGTGCAACCCAGACATACCCAGACGACCTTAGTGCCGGTGATGCTTTTCGGCACTGGCTCACCTGTGGACGAGCAGCACTCTGCGGTAACGCCAGCTGTGCTAGTCAGTGATCTGTGAAAGCAGGCTTGGCAAAGACACTGCAGAGCGGCTCGATGCTTGCTTGCTGAAGATACTTAGCCGAGCTTTGATTTTGAGTCCTGTAGAGCCTGTGGCCGCATGCAGATGAGCATGTGCACCCTTTGCAACAGTTGTACGCTGCCTGCTGCCATGGGCGCAGTGGTGCAACAGAAGCCACCAGTGCTTGAGAAAAGTCCGCTTCGAATTCCGATAGGGAGCGGAAGGTGAAGAAGGATCATGCGCAGCACCCACCCCACACACAGACAGACATGTCGACTCTTGCGATACGGCGAATTTGGCTCCGGCTTTCGCGAGATTTAATTGATTTTGTTGCCTTCCTCCTCAGCCGCAGCCGCTGAGATGCAAGACGCAAACCTGGAGCTGCTGCATGCACATCGCCAGACTTCTCACGACTCTTGGAAACGATACATGTTTGGCAGGCAAAGATGGCCGCGTCACGCGCAGCACGGGTCACTGTGGCTGCTGTGGCCCTGATGTCCACGCTGGCTTTCTTGGCGCCTTCGTCGCCGCGAGGTGCAGCAAACGTATTTTGGAAGTGCTCGCTGTGCAGCTGGTGTGTTTCTGTTGTGGCTTGATCGGTAGCCAACGTAGCCAGTTGCACCTCCAGCCCATCGTGGAATGGCCCCTGCCTCCATCGGTGACAGTGACAATCAGGGAGGCCTACAACTGAGCGTCGGGCTACCTAGCAGTTTTGAGACGGAAGCGAGGCCGTGAGGCAGGACCTATTGTTGCTCCCAGGCCTCGGTTGGCTTCGCAGCTTTGCTGGCTGCAGCAGTGCTGCGTCGCGCATCCATTACGGACAAAGTCTCGCCTCTTGGCAGGGACCCGAACCGTACTGCGTCCCTTCGTACTTAGATCTACCTTCCTGTTTGTTGAATGTGCAGAAATGTGTGCATGTGCATGCCCCGTGCTTCTCGCCTGGAACCGTTGACGCTTCGGCACTTCGCTTCGTCGAACTCGCAGGTTTGACAACATCGCTCGGGAGTGGCGCTGCAAGTGGTCTGCAGACGACGACAAGGTGCTGCACGAAAGAGCGCTGTGCCTGGAGTGCTTAGGTTGCTGCGCCTGTAGTCCCGCTCCACCCGTGGAGGCATCGCTGGATGCAGCCCAGGAGGCCTTGGATTCCGTGATCTCGGACGTGAAGTCTGCTCTCTCCTCAGTCGTGCAAACTCAACATACGTTGACGGCTCCGGCGCATGATTTCTAAGCGCGCTTCGCTGCTTGCAGGTGGACGGCGTGAAGTCGGTGCAGCGAGTCGTCTGTGGAGGGTGCCTAGACTTCAAGGCGACGGGCTGCCACCAGTTGCAAGGCATCGATACGGGAGGCCCAAAGGGCGTAGCAATTCGCAGGTGGTTGTGAAGCTGCCAGCGGACAAGTTCGGCGACTGGGAGAACGCGGGCTTTGCTCCGGAGGAGTGCCTCAGAAAGTGCCTTGCAGCGAAGTTTCCAACTGACAGCTGCTTTGCTCCTCTGTGGCCATCACACCGGGCCTTTGGAAGGGCTCAGGCAGAGATCCTACACCCGGCAAGTCTCGCATCTTTGCCGATACCCTCTCGAGCAGATGGATGTTCTTCAGGAGGCATTCCTGGACAAGCTCAAGGCTATCGATGGCATCTCTACCGTGGAGACGCAGACCTACACGCTTGAAGAGGCTCCAGAAGAGCTCTTGTGTCTGTGTGCATTCGCAGCGTTTCCTTTCATAAAAGCGACCATCACAGGTCTGAGCTATCAGCGTGCTCACAATGCAGGTGGCTCTGACCTTGGCATGCATGACATCAGCCTGTGTGCTTGTCGGGAGTGCGCAGATTGGGTAAATGCACATCATATGTTCGATTACTAGCTACCATGGAGATACAACCTCACACCACACACGAGTCGGTATGTCAGGTGCTTGGGGCGTCTCACCTTCGGATCTTTGGTTGCCTGCGAAGCTGCTTTCGCGGGCCTGCTTTGGATCCCTGAAGTATAAGACATGCCCCAAGGATGCGCGTCGGATGTTGGGAGTGCTGGGTGATTGTGTGACATATGGTGAAGACGATGGCGTTGCTTCGCAGTTCGTAAGCAAGCGGAGACCGGCAATCCCGCGACAATATCAGTTTCAACAGTGTAGCAAAGACTGCTGAAGAACTAGAGGTTGGAAAGGCTGCTGGGTTTGCATGCAGCAAGACTTCGTGTCTCCGTGATGCGTGTTGTGGTGAACAGAGATCATCGTTTCTGAATGTTTCTGCCTTCGGAGACCTTCCAGTTGCCAGTTTCTGGGCTCAAGTCGGGAGCAGTTTGAGGGATCTGCCACTTCCGTCCAACCATGCCGGAGATCACCAAGTCCGTGAAGCCGCTTGGCCTCCAATCTACATACAAGCGGTGGCTCAGGTGTTTGATCATCCCATTTCATGCTTGAAGGTTTGATAACATTGCCCGGGAATGGCGATGCAAGTGGGCAGATGACAACGACAAGGTGGTGCATGAACAGCTCTGTCGGCTCTTCTGCACAGCTTTGCAGTCAGCTTTCCTGTGCAGGCAGCGCTGAGCGCCGCGCAGGCAGCCCTGGACGACGTCTTGGCCGACCTGAGCTCCGCACAGCTTGCGATGTTTCGAGTTGTCTTCACGAGTTGGTGGAGGGTCATCTCTGTTCAAGTGCTGAGCGGGTTTCCGCCTTCCGCTCTGATCTCCTAATCCACGGCACTCTCGACCTCACTTGCAAAAAGTGGTTTGCGCCGAACGTGCTATTACCCAAAGCACCAGCGAAGTTTTATTCTAGGGCCGGGCAGCGCAGGTAGAAGCCCGGAGCAAGGCCACTCACCCGCCCCTCGCCAAACCGCGCTGATGCTGATGATGCGCGCCCTTTGGGGTCCGCCGAACCCCGCTGATGTTGATGATGCACGCCCTTTGGTGCTTCTGCAACCCACTGAAAAATTTGCAAAACATCTCCTTGAAGCGGGGGGGATGCAAGAGGCTTCCCGGCAAGGGTCGGTGGATGTGTCCGTCAAGAGATGGAGCGGAAAAAACGAAGGCCGAGTTAATGGATGCAACTATAGACAACTAAAGAACCAGGCAAGCATAAGCCTTCCTCCTCAAACGTCCCTTCCAACTCTCCCTTTCTGATGCCCGCCGGGCTTGGCAGGTTGAGGGCGTGGGCTCCGTGCAGCGCGTGGTCTGCGGAGGCCCGGACTTTTCATTTCGCGGGAGCCGACGCAGATGTTTCGAGGGCTTAGGATTTGGGTATTGCCACTATTCGTATCACTGTGAGCTCACTCGAGGCTGCCTGGACTTCAAGGCCTCGAAGGGGACGCGGACGCGGAAGATGCTTAAAAGTTCTGGGCATGTTTGGGCATGTCTTGCAGGTGGTGACAAAGCTGTCGGCAGCCGCCTTCGGTGACTGGGAGAAGGCTAAGTTCGCACCCGAGGCAGAGCATCCGAGAGACATGTATTGCAGAAGCTGAGTCTGAGTCTACGAATCTGGAATGAAGCCGCCGGCGTTGCAACTCGCAAATGCCTGCGCCAGACGCATGATTCGGATGTGCATCAGACGTGCACGCGCGGCGCAGGAAGAGTTCTTGTCCAAGCTGAAGGGCATCAAGGGCATCTCCAACGTTGAGACCCAGACCTACACTCTCGAGGAGGCTGCTTGAATGGTGCTGTACTGTAGCTCAACTTTGTTGCTTGTCAGTTCCCCGTGTACAAGTTCAGTACCACCCTTGCCTCTCGGACAGCCGGGGTTGACTTCCAGTGCCAAAGAGATGCATCGTCCAGGGTCCAGTGCATCCCAGGCCTGGACTAATGACTAGAGTCGATGATCGCCCCTTTAAGGTTTGACTCCATAAGATCATGACTGGTTGTGGCCGTGGACATTCAGCAATGTCGGGCAATAGAGCTTCTTAGAGTTGGTTTGTCGTTGTCCACAGGTCAAGATGAACAAGAAGGACATCAAGAAGGCCCAGGAGAAGAAGGCGGCATCCGTGTCTTGAGACATGTCCTGACACGAAGACCGGAGTCTCCGCAAATTTCGGCTTGCGCTTCAGAGCCGCTTGCGAGGAGAAGGAAGCAGCCGAGAAGGCCAAGGATGCGCCAAAGGCCCCGGAGGATCCAGCCGCTCAGACCGGCAGCCAGGGGGTCTTCCAGGGATTTTTTTTTTTAAGACTCTCCTTCGTGTTACAGTTGACGAAATGAGGCCAAGAAGCTGAAGAAGGCATACATGGACATGGCCAGCTCTGCCCCTCTGGGGCCCGCGCTTTCCGAGTTGTTGCAGGTCCTCAAGGAGGGCGGCAAGCGTGGAGTTGAGATTGAGGGTGCTGCCGACATGGGTGGCCTGCAGTCATGGTCCTGGGCGACTGCTGTAAACAAATCTTTAGGTTTAAGGCGCTAGGCCTTTGTCATGGAGAAGTTTGGGAAAGCCTGAGTCGGTGAGGTTCTTCTGCACATCCGTCGATGAACCGGAGGTTGGTGAAGAAGCAAGCGAACGTGCGAACTTTCAGTTGCGCTGTGTGTACCATGTACCACATGTCTGTCTGTAAGGGTCTATCGGATTATCAGACTGCCACGACCACTGCTCCTCTACCCGATAAGATCCTGAGAAGTTGCCAAAGCCTGTCGATGTCGGTGCTCATGATGGTGAGGGCCAGACAGCTGAGGACAGCAGTAATGCTCCTGCTGCCATGGCGACGTCAGTAAAAATACGCACGATGATCATCGCTGCGACGACCGCTAATAAGAACCAAAAATGACGGCAATCATGGGGATGTTCGGTGAAAGCGGTGGGAGCTCCTTCACAAATCGGGATGAAGCTTCACCGGCGAAGCATGGTCTTACCAGGGCGATGTCGAGCTCCTGACGAAGTGCGTGGAGGTCTGGAGCGCTGTTCGATGAGCCTGGAGCGTCCGAGAACTCATGCGTAAGGCCATGAACGCCAAGTCCGATCCTAGCGAGGAGGAGCGAAAAGGCAGGGTTCCGGAGCAAGTCTTCGGTTTCAGTCGCAAGTTCGCCTGAGCCGCAGGCGGCTCCGGCCACATCGGCAAGATGGCGGGGCCCGCAGGGAAAGGGCAAGTGATACGTACAGAGACACCCTGGTTGTCGGCGCAGCTGTTTCTTCCAAGGTGTTCTCAGCTGGAGCGGAACACCTCGCAGTTCTTGCTTACGTCCCAGAGGCTGGCTGTCTCTGTCAAGCTCTGTACATTTGTCCATGCTCGCACGGCCTGAGAGCGACAGCGACATACCGCGAACATCCGTGGCTCATTGCAGCTGTTCCCAGTCCTGCTGTGTGAGAGGAGAAACAGGCCGCGTTGTCCTGCGAGGCACGGATGTGGGATCTGATTACACTGCATTCGTGTTGGAAAGGCCAGCAGGAGCTGAGCCTGTCCTGCCTGTCCTTGTGTTTTGAGGCTTGGCTGGAGAAGGTCCTGAGCCAGCAGCCAGGCTATCAGGTCCTCACGAAGGCCAAGGTGCGGCAATTCTGCAGAAGCTTGCTGCCGTGGGTTGGGTTCTTTGGTTGGGGAGTGGTATAAATATCAGATATAGATTGAGTTATGCAGAAAATACCGGCCGGAAGACAGAATAGCAAACGCTATTCCTGAGCCCTGTGTCTCATACAGCAGAGGATGCTGAGGATACCGTTAAGTGAGACTGCACAGCATGTTGTAGAGGTACGAGCTGCGAGCTGATGCGGCTGTCACGTCGGTCTAAGTCGTGCAAACGTGCACACCAACTATTGGGCGTGACTAGGGATGAGACCATGAAGAGCAGTTAATATAGACATCGCAGTCAGCAAGTAGTAGTAATCAAGAAAAGACACAGTAAGATTGCAAAGACACAGCCTCCGAAATAGCAGTCAGCAGTATAAGAAAAGCGTATGTAGGCCAAGTGTATTGATGAGGGGCGGTCGAGGACCATCAGCGTGTTGGATGCCATGCATCGCACCTGTCGACTAGCTTGGTACAGGATGTGTCCACGGGCATCATCCCTACCAACGCGGACCACTGCCCGCTGTGAGTTGTAGTTGACAGTGCGACCCAAAGATGCCCAAACCGACCACAACGGTTTCGAGGACAAGGGCATCTTCCCTCTGAAGATCAGGGAGGGCCTGATTCTGGAGGCCATGTGCGGCTTCACATAGAAGCGAAGGATTCCTGCTACGCTGCTACGCTACTTAGACATGACTTCGACGGCAAGAGCAAGCGAGCTTGGCTCGTGCAAGGCAAACAACTACCTCAGGAAGCTTGGTCTGTTCCCCGAGGTGCCATCCCAAGCTTCTTTCATGTAAGCGGAACCGACGGTTCAGGAGGTGGCGCATTGATGCAGACATGCTTGTTAGACTCTCAAACCCTTTACTTCATCTCTGATCTTGCTGCACTGTAGTCACTGTAGTCTTTGAGTCTCTTCTTGCCTGTGCTCCAGCACGTCGATCTTGGAACCTTACCTACGGCAAGCTCGAGCGGTTGTACCTATGTGTCACGAGGGACAAGCAGGTGTGCAGACCTGCCTTCATGTGTGCACGAAGTACGTGCAGCTGTCAAACCATCCATGAGTCTTTCTATCTACCTGCCTGTCTCTTTCGCTATTCATCTGTCTATCTATTTATATTTATCAAGTATCTCTCTTCTATTTTCGGTCTATGTACCCATCCATCCATCCGATCCGTCCATCCGTCCGTCCGTCCCTCCATCGATCGATCAATCAGCCAATCAATCATATCTATCTCCATCCATCCATCCCCCCTCCCTCCATTTGTCCA